ATGGGACAGGCATGGCATCAGCCTGGAAGCCAGGTACGGAGCTTAAATTTGTCCCAGAGGAGGCATGGGATTGTGGTAAAACAGTGGAGTCCGGGAAACCCCAGTTCTGGGCTCAATTGGGTTCAGCCTGCGGGAGGAAAGGTTCATCCTTTCGCAGTTTGCCAGCTCCAGAAAGGAGATAGGGGCACCTTGGGGAGGTTTTGTTTTTCTTTATTATTTAATCCCTGACATAAGGATTCAATTATTACCATTGAACGTAGAATAAATGCGCCGAATGCGCTCATCCATGGGGTTGATGGTGGAGCCCAGCCTGGTGCAGGTCTCCCACCCCGCGGCCAGGGCTCAGGGTGCCCAGGCACCCGTGGGAGCGAGGACGTGGAAGGAGTTTATTGCACAAGGAACAAGTGGCTACACCATCAGCTCTGCACGGCGGGGGTTCTGCAAAGCCGCACAAACCGCCGGTAAATCGCCGCTCTGGGAACTGGCTTTTGTTACCTGATTACCACTAAACTTGATTAACAACAAGACACACGCACAAAAAAAAAAAAAAAAAAAATCAGAGCAAGAGAATTTGATTTGAATTTCATTGCATGTCTGTGCAATCTCGCCTCCCGCACTGCTGTAAACGCTGGCCTATTTTGAGGTCTTCCCGCTCTCATCAAAATTATAAGCAAAGACCTCAAAACAGCCCCATTTCCTCCGACAGCGACTGCACAAGGCACCTGCAGATGAAATGTGTCAGCTTTGCCTGCTTTTTAAAATCTTGTCACTGTGCATTTTCTTGGCTAGCATGTAAATTCCTTGAAGTTTCAGCAAATCCTGAGTGGGTCGGCTTCTAAAGAAAACCCAGTAATAGCATAATAAAGGATATCACACAACACAGCATATATTAGTTTGCAAAGTTCTCGGCTTGGATATAGAGAGGAGTGATTTTTGGGTGCTGAATTGGGAGGTGCAACAGCAGGATATGGTTTTCTTCCAGCCCAGGGGACAACAGGTCTGCTTTCCCTCCATAGCCCCTTCCTACAGCAGGAGGGATATTTGGCAGCATCCCTTCAACCTGCTCCCACCCATCTCTCTGAGTCCCGATCTTCCAGCCAGGCTCATCACTCACTGTGCTCAGCCCAGGTAGGAAGGAGGAGGTGGTATGTTTTGGAAGAACAGCACCAAAACCAGCCCTGTTGTCCATCTCCACCTCACCAGGTCTCCTCCTTCATAGACGGGGCCCCCGTGGGGTGATGGGGTTAAAAGCCCTTTCCCATCCCGAGAGGTTGCGTTGCCTTTGCATCCGTGAATGTCGTCCTTCAGCCTGTACCACTGCTGGGCGTTCAATCATAGAATCACAGGATCATTAAGGTTGGAAAAGACCTCTGAGATACCGAGTCCAACCATCAAGCGGCATAGGTGGTCGTGGAGAGTTTTGCGAGTAAGGCCAGCTGAAGAAAATACGGAGGAAAACAGGAAAAGAATAACGCAGTGAAGGAATTCAAATTCATTTTATTGAGGAGTCAGGGGAGAACACTTTGGGCTTTGAATTTATTTAGCAGTGAGGAAGGGAGAAGGAATTGGATTTTTTTTTATTTCCATCTTCTTCCAATCTTGGGGGAGGATCTGGAAAAGGAAGATAATCGGGGAAGAAAAATCTCCTAACGCTTACAATATGAGACTGATTGTTGGGAAAAAATAATCATACAACAGAGGCAAAATTCTCTGCAGAAATTTTCTTTTTGGCAGAAAAGCCCATTCTTCCCTTGAACAGCTTTCAGCAGAACATATCCATACAGCTGCTGCTCTCACTGCCCCTTTGGACTGACACTGTTTATCCAAGACAATTAACTGGTGATGTGATCCTGCCTAAAAATGCCTACAAAATCCTGAGAACAGGCAGGTTTGAATCAAAAAAGCTGTAACATATAAGAAATCCATTTGACAGCTGGAGGTTTTTGCTGGACTGGATTGAGAACTGGATAGCAGGCAGATGTTTTTCAGTGGGAACATTGGCTGACAGTGGCCAACTCCCTACTGATTTATTAGTTTACAATTGCAATTTACCAATTAAACAGTTGACACGATTTCTTAGTCACACAAACCCTCTCAATCAAGGCTGGGGATGGTTCAAAATTACACCCCGTAGTCTAATCAGGAGCTGATGGGTGATGCAGTCTCCAGCTCCTTTCAGTCAAGCTAACAAGATAACTCCTAACTCCAGGCACCAGGATTTGTGAATCCATGGGTCACCACGTGCTTTTGGGATCTCCTACTCGGAGCGTCTCTCATTTTAATCCCCAGGGAGGGCTGGACACCATCACCTCAGGAGCTATGGGCCGTGCAAGGGAGCAGACTGCTCCAGCTGTTTGCAACTGGCACTCACTCCTGTCTTGGTTTCTAGAGGTCACCTCCAGTAGATGTTGCAGGAACATGTAGGTTTGTCCTAATATTGCAGGCTAGCTGGAGAGGAGATGTGTGCTGACGGTGGTGTCTCCCATGGGTGCCAGTGCTGCAAGATGCAAAGGTGTGAAGGAAAGAAGGTGTGAATCAACAACTGTCGGTCTTGCACCGCAGTCCATCAGCTGATCACCAGCTTTGCTTTCTGTGCCCATCCAGACACATCCTTAAGTCTGCCCAAAGGCAAGATTGCTCCTTGCTCGCACGCTGCCTCGGGGGCAGCTCAGCTGCAGGTCATATTTCTTCCCCAAGTCGCCTGGACAAATAAGAGAAAGGTGTTGTCCATCCCACTTCCCCTTTAACAAAAACCATAAAAGACTGGTATGAGTCTATTCATTTCATCTGGAGTCAGTCCTGGTGCAAGTATTACCCTGTGGATCACCCATCCCACTCCTGGGTGTTTCCCCGGGAGGGCGACAGTCTGGAGTGAGTTACCTGCCGTGGCTGGAAGTTGTCACATGTTCTCTGTATAAACTAGTTCTGGTGGAAAACGAAGCTTTTTAAAGCATTTTTATTCCCCGGGAAGCCATGTGGAGCTTGGACCGCACTCAGCAGTTAAATGACATCTCGTGTCATGCATGGGGTTGTTGCAAGAAAGCAGTGGGGAACAGTCAAAACAAAGTGTTTAGTCAAGAGAGCTGAAGGGGGGTGAAATGCATTTCACAGAAGATACTGCAGCTGGGGAATTCATTTCTTGTCCCCACCCAGGGCCAAAATTCTCCTGTGGCTGAGCATGAACAGCTGCTTAGGAATGAGAACCACCCAACAGTGTTCACACCTTGCAACCCTCCTCACCCTTTGCAACTCTTCTCTTTTCCAGGTATCTGGGAATCACTCGGCCACTGACGTACCCCGTGAGACAAAATGGGAAGCTGATGGCCAAGATGGTCTTCATCGTTTGGCTCCTGTCTGCCTCCATCACCCTTCCTCCTCTTTTTGGCTGGGCCAAGAACGTCACCGTGGAAAGAGTCTGTCTCATCAGCCAGGACTTTGGGTACACAGTCTACTCCACGGGGGTTGCCTTCTACATCCCCATGGCGGTCATGCTCGTCATGTACAGCCGGATCTACAAAGCTGCCAAGGTCAGCGCCGAGAAGCACCGCTTCATGAACTTCCCCAAGCACTACGAAGAGGAGGGCGTCTACTGCCTAGAGGCCTCCAGCCGGAGCCATCACAGCTCCAAGCGTACCAAAGCGGTGGAGGAATGCGCCACGCTCTCCAAACTGCTCTGGCAAGACCGAAAGAATATTTCCATCTTCAAACGGGAGCAGAAAGCAGCCAGGACCCTCGGCATTATCGTGGGGGCGTTCACATTTTGCTGGCTTCCATTCTTCCTGATGTCAACAGCTCGGCCTTTCATCTGCGGCATCCACTGCAGCTGCATGCCCCTGCGGCTGGAGAGGACTCTGCTCTGGCTGGGATACACCAACTCCCTCATCAACCCCTTGATTTACGCTTTCTTTAACCGAGACTTGAGGACTACTTTCTGGAACCTCCTGAGGTGCAGGTACAGGAACATCAACAGGAGGCTCTCCGCCGCCAGCATGCACGAGGCCCTGAAAGCCACAGAGAGGCACGAATGCATCCTGTAGAGCCGCGTCCTCTCGCTCAGTGCCTGACCAACGAACTCCTGCCTCTCCATTTCAGGTTCCTTGCTTCTCTTGCCTCTCGGGGTTGGCAGAAACCATGCGTGCCGTCGTTCCCCTGCCAGAGATTGCTGCTGAGAGTGACACTCCTTCCCCTCGCTCCGGGAGGAGCTGTGGTTCTCCTCACCTCGGGAACAAGTGGGCAGCCCTTCCTTCTCACCATGTCCCAGGTGGGAGCTGAGCAGCCATGAGCAAGACCAGGGGGTTCAAGGTCTACCACCGATTGTGGGCAAGTCACACCACCTTTCTGTGCCTCAGTTTCCCCATCTGTTAAAAAAAAAAAAAAAAAGGAAAAGCAACCCTTCCAACCAAACACAAAAAAAAAGAAACCTAAAAACTTGGTAAGACTGTGGCTGTCCACCTTTGAAAAGGGCTCTAAGGTCTGAGGAGGGCACACAATATACTGTGTAAACATGACGTTGGCTGCACTTCTCTATCGAATATGACAGCAGCTATAGGCTCCGTTGTAGATCCAAGCACTCATGTCAGCCCAGCTCATACGAACTCTTTCCACCGATGTAATTGCATTTTACACACTGAGCTCATGTCCAGGTTTGCATGTCAGAGCAGTAACACCAATGACCCCTCACACTGTAGCACTGCATCTCTTGAAAGAGGCACGCCTGCAGAACGAAACACAAAAGAACACAAAGTCTCCTTTACGGTTGCATAGGAAAGACCAATGGCCTCCTCATCAGGGCAATGACCAGTGAGCAAAGACAGTTATGTTTATTGGGTTGTACTGTAATTCATTCTCAGACAAGTGATGTGTGTTCATAATTTGTGGCTAATTGACTCCATAAAAGCACGCTTTGGTTGACAGCAGAAAAAAGTATAGAATTTCTATCAGCTTTACAGTGCTTCAGTATGATGTCCAGCAAGCTCGAAAAAATACACTAAGTGATGTATCCTTTCTTTTTTTAAAAAAAAAAAAAAAGTCTGGTTTCCTTATTTTGGTGTAGATTTTTTGGTCACTTCGACTTTAAAGAGTCTCTTTATTTTTATGTGCTGGTGGGACTTGTCTTCCTGCAGTCCTCTTTGCTCTTGACCAACCTTGTTGCATCAACCTTGCTTTGCAGCCCCACAAACCCTTGCCCATTAGTAGATGATGTCTGCTCCGTGGGGTCAGTTGTTTGCACGTCTCCTGTCTGGGTTTTCTTGTCAAAGCCAGACTGTTCAGAGGCTCGGGAAAGGGGTTTCTAGCCCTCTCTCCACTACAGATTTTGTTTATCAAGCAAGAGTGTATGAGCGGTGGTAGTCCCATCTCTTGCAACATAGAATCATAGAATCATTAAGGTTGGAAAAGACCTCTAAGATCATCAAGTCCAACCGTTAACCCAACACCACCATGCCCACTAAACCATGTCCCCAAGCACCTCATCTACACGTCTTTTAAATACTTCCAGGGATGGTGACTCCACCACTTCCCTGGGCAGCCTGTTCCAAGGCCTGACCACTCTTTCAGTGAAGACATTTTTCCTAATGTCCAGTCTAAACCTCCCTTGGTGCAACTTGAGGCCATTTCCTCTCGTCATCATTCAGTACGATGCTTCCATACATAGCTAAATTGGCTGTTGGATGCCTTGGCTGGCTGCTGGCATGGTTTGGCTTAGTAATCAAGGTTTTTCCTGTGAAATTTTTTGTGCTCTCACTTTCCCTCTTCTTAATAGACATTTCTATCCTGTTTCTTTTTACACTTGTTTTTTCTAGAGATGCCCAACAAGGTCTCCAGTTTAGACTGGAGATTTACAGCAGGAAAACTGGCTCAAGTCCACTGGGAATGTCCCAGGGGACTGAGGGAGGTTGGGCACCGGAATAGCAACATGTCCAGTTGTTCTCCAAGCTCATGTCCTCACAGCTGGAGCCAGAATTGCACATAGGCGCAGGGGAGCTTGTTGTAGCTGTCGTATGGGTCTCCAGTGGGAAACGCTTAAAGATCAGACAGTAAAGAGATTTGAAGGAGGACCTAGTCAAGAGGGAACACAAAGGTTTAGCTGGAGCCCTTTTCACCTGTTACCCTACCCAGGAGGTGTTTGTAGAGCAGCAAGTGGTTCTGCTAAGATGGTTAACAGCTTTCCATCTATCTCCCATGGCTTGTATGCTGGTGGTAGGTTTGTGCAAGGCTGCCTGAGCCCCCTGTGACAGGACCATGCTGTTTGCTGGAGGCAGAGCATTGCACGTCTTGCAGCCTGGCCTTGCAGCCACATTCAGTTCCTAACCCCTACTGCTCAGAGGCTGCTGTGCATCTCTACAGTCATATATTCCTGTCCAGGACCAACACAAAATCCAGCCTTGCTGAACTGCCTAGGGTGCGTGCCAGCAGTAAGGACCTGTCCTCCACCATTCTGCCAAAGATGGATGCTATTGCCCAGGGAAACCTGAGTGGTGTCCCTGAGATGCCCTGTGGTCTTGTATCCTGCAAACCAGAGACCCCACTGACACAACGAGGTAGGAGAAGGCACGAGCGCACCCTCACACTCTTGGTTTCACACTGCTGCTGCATGAACTGGTGCTAAACCTTGCCACAACCTCTCTACTTTTCCCTTGATGGCGTATGTTCACCTTGGTGCACTTGCTACTCATCACCCTTCCCCAGCTTGGTTGCAACTTCTCATGATGCCTCTGCTTCCAAGCCCATACAACAGGTCCCCACGCACCACATCTTTAGGGCAAGGTCCGATTGCCCATCTCAGGACCTGCTTATCAAAACCAACCCCTTTCCTTCCAGAAAACACTTTGGGCCATTGTCTCCTCTGTCACAACATTTTAGCAGCAGCTGGTCGCTGGCTCTGGCCTGCCACGGGGACATGAAGTTGCTGCAGGGTCCAATTTCCTCCCTGGGCTCCCCCAGCTCCTTCCCTGCCGTGGAGCTAACAGTGCCCTTTTGACAGAGCTGTCTGGATTAAAACTACCCAGCGGCTAATTCAGACTGCCTCGTCAGGATGTGAAAGCCCCGAGACAGCCCATTTCATATTCAGCACACAACAACAGGGTCTGGTTTGTTCTGCTGCGGTATATTTACATGCCTAAGGTCATAGTGGCATGGATTTACTTACTTTCTCTATTACAGGTTCTTAAACTGCCTTCAGAATTCATAATCTTGTTTAATTCCACTTAACATCCCTATTCTGATGGTATTTCTAGCGCTGCTTAAAAGTGTTCTGCAGAACAGCTATGAAACAGTGTTCGAGCCTTTTAAATGAAGTCATATGAATACTGTTTTTTTCTGGTTTGATGGTTCTTCCAGAAGAAAAAGAGTAGGGGAAAGAATATGATTCTGGATGATCCAAAACCCAAACTTTTTCTAAGCAAAGAATCAAGCAAAATGGGTCCTTTGTCTTAAAAATCAATGTTTTCTTTGACTTGGAATTGAATGTTTTGTTTCACTCTAGGCTTATCTGCTCATCTTTTTTTTTTTTCTTATATTTTCATTTTAACACATTTAAGTTGTGTTAAAAGAAAAGCCTTGTTGCCAGAAACAATTCCAAAAGTTTGCATCCGAAAAGGTTTAAACATAATAACTTCACTGAAACAAAAAATTTTGCTCAAAAAAAAAAAAGAGATAGCTTGCATGATTTTTCCAGTAGTTATTGTCTCAAGTTGTGAGACAAAACTCTTGCTTTTTAACTGTCCAAGATTAAATTGTGTTTATGGTATTTAACTTAAATAATGTGCATCTGAAGACACCAAGGCCTTTTCCACGCACGAGTGGGCACCAACCATTTAGTTAAGCCAGTCAAAATCCTTGTAGATGAGCCGCTAAATCATGCTGAAAATACTCTGTGGGTTTTTTTTTTTTTTTAATCAGACAGGAATCAATGCATTTGGCATCTGCAAAAAAAAAAAAAAGTCTTAAAATAAATCTGAGCCATTTTGAAACTGATTTTAGCATGCAGGAGTGTGCCTAACCAAACTACATAAGATTTAAGATAAATTAGCCCTGTAAGAGTCCATGTTTAGGCAAAAATCTGAGCTCATGGAGAAAAGTATCAATTTAGGAGGACAAGAGAAACTTCCTTGGGCAATGAGAGAGTCCCAGCAGACTAGCAGCAACGGAGTGGAAAAGAATGAGGAGCCTCAGGCAGAGAAAATCGAAGTAATTCAGGCATAAAACGAGTAGGTCTCAAATCAGCTTTTTATTCCACTCCACGTGCAGGGGAAATACGTACAGAAACACAGGCAGAAGCGTTCTGGGGAGAAAAGACAGTTTTGACAAACCCCTATGGCCACCCCAGATGGGGTTTAGAAGTTTTTGATAACGATGTTGAGCAAAGCCAAGCGAGATTAGCTAGAGATGTAACGAAAAGCCCAAGGCGGTAAGAGCCTGCGTGTCTCTTCCCAAAGAGCGTGAAACCTCCCCGCTCTCTGAAGTCAGCACTTTATGGATGGGTTTGGCTGAGAGGGACGAGCATCGGTGATTTTAACAGACAGCTCAGCAAACCCACCGTGTTCTTCATCTCCACTCGGGTCCTGCCATCTCTACCGTCTCCCGATGACAATGTAATATTAAGACAGCTGCACCACGTCCAACTGGAAGATGATCTAGCCCAGGATCCTACCTCGAGCAGAGACCAGTGGCAGATTCTTACAGAGATAGACTAAAAACCAGCAAATCTGTTGTGGTACGTCTAGCGCATCCTTCCTTGTCCCAGCAACTAAAGGTTCAGCAACTTGCTGAGCCAGCCAAACTCTTGTAGTAACCTCCAACGGGTGCTTTTCTTCTAACCTATTTATGTTTTTCCTACTTTGCCATCCTGAGGCAATGAGTTCCACAATTTAATTACTTTTCAGGTGAAGAACTATCTCCTTTCACTCATTTCGAACCTGCCATCTGCTGAGCTCATTGGGCTCTGGCTAATCCTTGCGTTAGGAAGGAGAATGAGCGATCATCCCTATTCACTCTCTCCAGGCCAGTTATGGTTTTGTAGACCTCTACCATATTGTTCTTTTTGAAATAAGAAGTCTAT